GTGTTTGTTATAGTTACCAGCATTGACTCAATTCCACTAGGCAATTAGGATGGATTAGCAGGGGTATGTTGGGCAGAGATTTCTGGGATCTGATTTGATGCCTGATTCTGCATTATTCCTGCAGTGGTTGGTTGAAGCGTCGGACTGACCAGTTGTTGTAACTTAACGCCTGAGCAAAAGAAACTCCAAGAGTCGTAGTTGATGGTATACATGGTAAGTTTTGTCGGACGACCGGGTTTCTAGCTGCAGTTATTTGTTGGCTTAGGCGATTTTTCAATTCTTTATAGACAGGACAACCTCTATAGTTGGCAGTATGGTTTCCCCCAAGGTTGCTACATTTTTTGGCAGATGGGTCCTCCTTATTTACGGGGCAGGCCTCAGTGAGATGAACATCACCACAGGCAACGCAGACTGCCCGTAGAGTGCAATAGGTTTTCGTGTGTCCATATTCCTGGCAATTTGTGCATTGGACTGATCCATTTCGTTTGTGTGGTTCCTCAACGGTGATCCTATGGTGCAGTAGGTATTGAAGCTTGTATATTGGGTGAACTTCATTTTTACATATATGCATACTTTCAAGTGTCAGTTCTACTTTGAACATTGGCTGGGGAATTTTATTTCTATTTATTATGTTCATAGCCATTTTGACTTCGAAGCCCTTATCGTTAAGTCCATCTATTATCTCATTGATTGGGACTGTTGGTTCGATTCCTTTGATAACCACTTGTAATCCTTTGCTACTTTTATGTTGGTAGGTGTAATAATTCATTTTTTAATTTTCGAGGTATTTCGCAACTGATCGATAGTTTTGTTCGTAATTGACTTGTATTTTTGTTTCATTTATATTACCCATTTTTATGGACGTGACATAGAATGTGTTTGCGCCAATTTATCAGTTATTTTTTTGACCAGTTCAGCACAATTTGCCTGTCGAACATAGGTGGCGGTCTTAATTTTTCTTTTGATTTGCACATAGCGATCGGGCCCAGTCTGCATTTACGCTCCGTTAGCATTTTTTGAACTTATTGGTTGGGAGAGTTGGGGCTTGTCGCAGTGGGTCGACAGTATCGGGCGCTGAGCAATTGCAGTGGTTGTTGTTGTGGTTGTTGTCGTTGTTGTGGTCGAAGACACAGTTTTGAGCGAGGGCATTGTACTAGTTGTTGTCGATATTAGCAAATCGCTGGTTATGCAGTACGAGTCGGGGGATGGGCACTGAGCACTCCATGACCCACTTTGCAATGCAGGGGTTTGTTGGTACTGCTGCCTTTGGCGAGCGTATAGAGAAGTACGCGTTGTTTTTTGCTTGCGAGAGCCGACGCTCGTCTTGTTGTTGTTGCCGGGCTTGGCTCATTTTGGCTTTGGTTACAGTGCTTGTCCTCTTTACCGAGCTGGTGCTCTTATACGTTGACATTTGTTCTTTTCTATTATTTCTATTAATCTTTATTACTCGATTGGATGGTATTCATGGGCAGCACGATCACTAGTACCCATGCCTACCCCGAGTGCTTTTTCGCGAATTAATTTATGATTATATAATATTTGAAAGCCATCTTCTTGTACTATTTAGTTTTAGGATTGATTTATAATTTCCCTTTGTCATTGAGGCAGCACAATCCAGACGTTTCACAGCAAACTTCAATGCCCCAAAATGCCCGCAAACTTACGTGACACACCAACGCATCGCTCTTCTCGTGCAATTTGCTGTTCTTCATTAGTTAATTGATTCGCAATGTTCCGTAGCCTAATTGTTCCGTGGGGAAAGATTCAATCTTCTTGTTCGGAATGTATGGTTTGGTTTTTTTTTTAAGATTTATTTTAAATTTGGTATTTTTTCATGTTTTTTTAGAGGCAGGGCTTCTATTTTTCAGATAACTTAAATATCTTATATCTGCTTGCAGTTCTAAAATGCTGAGAAATGCATCTATAAATCCGACTCAGATACTTTGTAGCTGTAGTTTAACGCCTGGAAGATATAAAGCTTTCAAATTCAAATTTCATCATTTTTTTATGACTCAGAAAGAGTCAAAAAGAAATTCTTAATTATGATGCATTAATTAGGCGTCGTTTAAGGTATCGTTTGTAAGAATCGATTGACAAACGGCCAAGTTGCATCCGTTTGAACAAAAAGACTCAAAACTCATTTTACTTGAAAAAATCCGTCCGGTACGTTGCTGGAACAACTGCCAAAATGGGATTGAAGGTTTTACCGAGTCTTAGGTATGGACAGTTACTTTTACTCCAATGTTTTGGAGAAATCCAGAGATTCACGGCTCTGAATGTTTCTTTTGTTCATTCAAAAGAACTGGAATCTGGAGATCCATGAAATGGGGTTACCCAAAACAACCTGGTCAAGTCTTTACGCTTCCTGCTCTTCCTTTAGAAGAAATACCACCACTAAAACGCAAAAAAGAGGAGATGTCGTCTTCGTCGCATGGAACAACGGATTCAAGTAATGACCAATCAGGAGAATATAAATGTTGCAAGCCTCTTTTACAGGAACAGTTGAACGATTTGGTGGGGGTTGACAGAAGTATGGAAAGTTTAAAGCAGCGATGCCCAGGCCCATTGCCCTGCCCGATGTGTAAGCGACGACACATCGATGCCAAAGTCATGCAGCTCGATGACATAAGCGATGACCTGCCATACGATGGACTGTTTACTTTAACACAGGGATCTGCTAGGAATATAATCGATGACATAGTAAGCGAGAATTAGCAGAAAGTAAGGCCTAAATAAGTGATGACTTTTCCCAAAAAATAAGGCCTTGCATCACTTATGTATTTAAGTAAAAAATTTGGCCATTTTGAGGAATGGGAAAAATCTGTTGTAGAATATTAAATTTATTTTATTTATTGTTTTCTTTAAAAAATGTAGATCCACATTTTTGTGCTGTGTGTTCTTTTTTCCACAGAACCTTTTTAGTTTTGTTGATTTGCTCATGTTCGTAAGGCCGTCGTGCTCATTCCGGGCATTTCAACTGAATCGCCTTTAAAATAAGATGGGTTAATTAAATTATTTTTATTTGAAATTTCTAAAATATATTGAATTTGTTAACAATTCTCTCAGTAGATCAGCTATGGTAGATCAGCAGTGCATTTGCGCCAAAAAGAAAACACCCGCCAAGATATGTATCTGTTCGACTCAAAATTCGCATTTAGGGTGGTTTTTTTCTGTTTTCGTTGTTGGAAATGAAAAATTTCGTGCAAAACGCATATAATTTCGCAATTTCACATTTTCTTCATTCAACGCACAATAGACGTATTTTTAATTAAATGAAACACTGCACTTACCTGATTATAGTTTTGCCCAAAATAAACAAAACCTGCGTCTAACTTTTCACCGCACAATTCTTTGCCGACGCCGACGGCAAAACCGAATTCTGTTACGGCACGCGTCGTAACACAAAGGAACAAAGAAAAAAATGAGTTTGGTTTGACCGACGCGTCGATCGCGACGTCGACTTCATATTCTGCTCGTCTGCCGCAGCGGCAGAGAAAAAATCCTGAATGACGTGTAGTTGACATTTTTCATCGCTCACTTAGGGTACTGCAGGGTACGAAGGAAACATATCAAACAATGGATAAATTGTTTGAAAATATAAAATACTAGCAGACCCGCGCGCTTCGCTGCTTACTAAATGAATTTCATGTTTAGGAATTCATCGAAATTAAAAAATGATAATTTTGATGTAATGACATTTTATTTATTACAATGCTTTGTGATAAATAATATTCTTTGTTTTGCCGTCGGTACAATGAATCATTAATGCCGAAGGTTTGCCTACTCGTGAGCACGCTACATACAGTTTACCATGTGAAAATACCGGATGCTTCAAATTTAAACCACAAATTTGCAACGACTGTCCTTGTGATTTATTAATAGTCATAGCAAAAGCAAGACGAATCGGAAATTGTAGTCGTTTGAAATCAAATGGCATGTCAGTCGGAATCATCGGAATTCTCGTGCTCACTACAAAAATTTCCCAGTCAAAATAGTTGCTTCAAGTAAATAGTGTGAGGTCCTATTTCAGGCTGAGGTAAGCATCAGTCTGTCCAGGGTCCGCTACAAGACAATTTGTAGATTGCTGGAACTTTTAGGTTCGGAGCGGCCTTGTCTGACCGAAAGAGAGGTAGGACACAGGAGGAGCGTTTTGTTGCTGACAAAAATACTTCAAGAAAATCGTGGTTTTTGGTTTTGCTGGTGTTTATTATTTTTATTACTTAATTCTTTGTGGGTTTGTTTACGATGGATTACTCGCGGATCTTGTTACTTGGCCTGTGAGCCGGTGGTTGGTTGTTTTTGTTGGTGTTCTTTGCGTTGTTCTTTTATTATTTAATTCTGGTTTGTTTACAATGACTTAACTCGCGGATCTAGTTACTTGGTCTTGGAGCCGGTGGACTGGGTAGTGCAGTGTCTTGTGTTTGGGCTGAGGGACTGCCTAGTGCAGTGTCTTGGGTGTGTGACTGAGGACTGCGTAGTACAGTGTCTTGGGTGTGTGACTGAGGGACTGCCTTGTGCAGTGTCTTGGGTGTGTGACCGAGGGACTGCGTAGTACAGTGTCTTGGGTGTGTGACTGAGGGAGTGCGTAGTACAGTGTCTTGGGTGTGTGACTGAGGGACTGCCTTGTGCAGTGTCTTGTGTTTGGGCTGATGGACTGCCTACTCTTTCGGCCGATCTTGGCCCTTTTATGCAGCTGGTGATCGCACCTGAGACCCGGAAATAATTAATTATTGCTGACTTATGATTACGACAATAAATGTGGGGCTATTCGTTTTTGCTGAGGCTGCATCCCGGAATTTGGGGTCGGTAGGTTCATAATTTTATGTTAGCTGGATTTATTGTGAAATAACGCAAACCATGCGCACCGTCGATTGCGAAATGTCACAATTGTTGTGTGGACAAAAATGTGTAGAGTTGTTGGTCGAGAGTTCTAGACTATTTTTATTTCCGGGGTGCTGACACACAATATTGGTGGAGAACCGTGGCTAGAGCCATGGTTCTTCTGTTCTGCATATCTTAGTTGAATTTTGGTTGCTGCCTACCGTGGAGGTGTCGCGGTGGGAGTTGTTTGTAACGAGCCATGGGTAGAACCATGGTACGTTACAATAGTCATAACTTTTTTCATAGCAAGTCTTGTACCATTGCAAAGTCGTGGTGGATTAAGGTTCCGCAGCATAATTATGGTGGCTCCAACTCTTACTTGTAAATAGTATGGCGGCAAACCAGGTAAGTCCAATGAATTTAGAAATTCGACTGGATAATTTACAGCATCATCTTGATTGATAATTGGAACATATTTTGCAAATCGAAAATAATTTGTCTTCGCGTGTTGGTAATTATGGCACACCGACGATCAGCTTCGTCTTCCGCGTTCCCGATAAAATATAATTGCAAAAATTGGTGGTCTGCGTTGTCGAAAGGTAACAAAGAGCCAGCTCGATGGTATATTTGACCTTGAATCTGAATAAAATATATGATAGAATGCGAACAAACGTACAATTTGCATAAACAAAACGATTTAATTACCTTGAACGTTGGCATGAAGTTGTCATCTTGATTGATAATTGTATCAATCGACCTATACGCAACCATTTCTCCTGGGATGGAATTCAAAATAGATGCGTTGATCTCATTGACATCTTTATTTGCTCCGGCCAAAATTGCTCTTTCCCTCAACCAGTCACAGTGTCTATAATTTTGTACAATATTTGGAAACATGCTCTGAATCAAGTATTCCTTCGATGACACAAAAGTGCAAAAATTATTCGGAAGCGTTATGAAGCCAGAATTGTCAACGGGAAGTATGCTATTACCAATGTTTAACAGTTGTCTGGAAAACAAATCTGCTGAAGCATCCTTTTGCAATTGAACACGTACATTTGTAGTCAATCTAAGTGTTTTCACAGAGCGCCACAAATTAGATGTTTTCAAACACGCATTAATTTCATCTGCAGAAGTTCCTAGTTTGACTACAGGCAATGTTTGTCTGAAATCACCTGCTAACAATATCAATGCACCACCAAACAATCGATTATCTCCACGAATATCTTTCAACGTACGATTAAGTGCTTCCAGTGACTTCTTGTTGGCCATAGTACACTCATCCCATACAATAAGAGAGCATTGCTGCAGCACTCTCGCCATTGCAGATCTTTTTGAAATGTTGCATGTAGGATTATCGTCAGCCTTCATATTCAAGGGCAACTTAAGGGCAGAGTGCGCCGTGCGACCACCATCCAATAATGTGGCAGCGATGCCAGACGAAGCCAAAGCCAATGCGATTCTACCTTGTGCTCGAATGGTAGCCAAAATAATCGAAATGACAAATGTTTTTCTGGTACTTCCAGCTGCATCCAAAAAGAACACTCCACCATGTTGTTCTTCGATAGCTCGCAATATTTGGTCGTAAACCGTTCTTTGGTTGATATTTAACCGTGGCTCATTGTTTTGCACGAACGCATTAAGCTCGGCACGATCATACTGCTGTTCACGCTCCAGTTCTTTGTTGAAAAGGTCGTGTATATCACGATTAGGCGCTGTCATACCTAATTGAGCTAATGCTTTGCTTGCCATCATCAAGCAAAGGTCTTTAATAGAAATCAATGCTTCGTTGTAAATTTCCGGCGTATAGTCCATGTTTTTATCTTCCGTTTGACGGCGCAATCGATGTAATGACAAATGATTTTGATGTTTTTGCCACAATTCAATTGGCTTTGCTGGACTGCACGTGGCTATAATAATTGCGAAAAGTGTCCGAATTTGATGTGGACTTGATGACAATGCTGCATCTTCAAGTGTAAGATCCCAATGCATGTCATTCTCAAGCATATTCAAACGTTCGCATGCTTCGCGATATATCCCACAGAATTCTTCATCAACAGTTTGCAAAGATTCAAATGATGTTGGTCCACGAACATTTATTAGTAACAATCGCTAAAATTAACACTCTTGATTGTTAGGATGAACTGTATAAATTCTTCCTATCGCATCTGAGTGAAACAATACTGGCTGACCATAAACGGCTATTCCGCGTCTTCGCCTTTGAAAAACTTTTGACGAATTATTCCACGTATAATATTCTGGTACTTTGGCGTATAGCAATGTTTTCGCAAAATCATCTGCTTGACACAACGAAAAAAATGCGGATAGAGTTGTTGCTGGTGGTTGAAAAAAACGTGTTGACCGTTTTCAAGATGAACAGCTAAGTGAACTACAGTTGGATGCCTTTCATTGATCGGGAATGATAATATGCGCCATACTGCTTCATTTGAACTGATGTATCTGCCCATTTGAAATTGAATGATTTCATCGGTAACATTAGCAACTGCTCCAAAAACAGCCATATCACTGCCCTTGTGGATGTATTTGCAAATGTATTTAATAGATTAAACTAAATTGCAGCCCTCTACAAATCTTAGATAATAAAGGCGAATATGGCACAACCCAACGATTATCAATCTCCAAATATTGATTTTTAACTCTAAAAATTACCGAATGGCCAATTATCTTCAGTTGATCGACGCCGATATTCGGGATATCCATCGTTGCCCGTCACTGTATCGGAGAAAAAATTTTTTGGAAATTCAAATTCAACGCACCACATGGACCGTGAATCATATTTTTGGTGACCAGTTCAAACAATTCAGGATCCACTGTCTGATCTGGACTTTCTGCCGAAATCACATCGTCAATTTGATTCGGCCTTATTTTTTCAATCAGCCAAATTAAAATATGCGCATGAGGCAAACCTCGTTTCTGCTATTCAATTAAATACATCCAACATTGAACAGACCCAAATGCACCGTGTTTGACAATTAAATCCATGAGTGATTTCAATTTTTGTCTAAAAACACGTGCTAAAATATCATGGCGATCTTTCGATGTTTGGCCAACAAACAATAATTCCGAGATTTCTTCCCATTGCGGATGAAGAGGTCTGGTCGACCGTAACGGCGAACGTACTCAAACATATGACGTGGACTTCCAACATACGATGACGGTAATATTATCATAGTTCCAACGTTTTGTGCATTACCATCGTTGTTAATGGCATCACGCAAATGAACATACTCTTCGGAACGTAATTTGGCTTGGTTGAATCGAAGAAAATTTATCCGTTCCGATTCAATTTTTGCATACATATCAACAATATACTGGTGGAAAAGTGCTCTACACCTCAATATGTATGCGTAATAATTCATAGCACTAACTTTCTTTGTTCCTTCTCGACCGTTTACTGGATTTATCATTTTAATGTTGTAATTATAGCCATCTTGTCCGCTCCAAAACAATATGGGATATTGTAGTGCATCATAACATCGATGGATACACGTTCAAGTTGTTCATTTCTACGATGAAGCACAATATCACTATTATTAAATTGCTCACCAACTATGACTATTTCCACTTCGTCAACTGTTTGTGCATTGAAACGCCTTGCATGTTCGCCAACCGGTGTTTTATCAGCTCGAATAACAATTTTATGATCGTCAGATGGCATTCGATCAAGCGATGTTTTGAAAACCTGTACCAATTCGTTGTGCTCATGGAACATATTTTGCAAATCGAAAATAATTTGTCTTCGCGTGTTCCCGCGTTCCCGATAAAATATAATTGCAAAAATTGGTGGTCTGCGTTGTCGAAAGGTAACAAGGAGCCAGCTTGATGGTATATTTGACCTTGAATCTGAATAAAATATATGATAGAATGAGAACAAACGTACAATTTGCATAAACAAAACTTTTTAATTACTTTGAACGTTGGCATGAAGTTGTCTCTTATAATATTTGTAGCGCCAAAAGATGTCATTTGAAAACTCGAACTATACTTTCGTATATTGTTCAAAAACTGATTAGACTCAGGTGTCAATCCATTAAGTACTGTGCTCAATGGTTGTGGTGGGCTGCCTGACTCAGGCAATTTCACTTTACCACTCGCACAGAACATCCCATCTGCTTCACCTTTAAATTTTAATGCCTGACAATGGCGACAACGGTCGTTCATTGGACCAATTATAATTTGCCTATGAGAAGCGTAATCGGTGACACTACTGTACGCGAATGCAACACCTTGTAGATTTTGAATATCACGACGTTCATATGCAGTTTTTGTTGCATCATTGTTCCGTTGATTTGAACGGGACCTTGCTGTGCGTAGACGATTTTCATTGCGATGTGTAATGTCTTGGCTACTTTCACGGCTCCTTGAAGCCACAACTTGAAACGAATTTCGCGTTCGCCGACCCAAATTTAATCGTCTCGACATTTAACTTTAAAAACCACACAGGTTGGTTTAAAATGCACACATTTTCAAAAGCAACAAATATACTTACACAAATTGCAATTTTTTCAGAAAACAAATTTTCACACAAAAAGTTATAAAAAACAAAATCTTTCATCGATTGTTCTGTTCTACAGAATGACACAAAATGAAATGAAATAGGCGTTCAAACACACATTTTTAGACCAAATTTGACATTTTTTTTTTTGATTAATTTTTAATTTTTGTGGAACCTATGTATAGAAAAGTGAAAACTTTTGTAAACAAAGAATGCCGCATACTCTGGCTATCATTGAAAAAAAAACCGCATGCAATTTGGTGCACGCGTTGCGGAGAAATGAAATAGGTGTCAAAAACACACTTTTGGACCAAATTTAAGATTTTTTTTAATTCTTGAGGAACCTATTTATAGAAAAGTACAAATCTATTTGTGCAAACCAGGTCACATTCTCCGGCTATCATTTAAAAAAACAGCTTGCAATTTGGTGCACGCGTTGCGGAGATAGCTGCTTACACACAGATTTTTTTCTACAAATTTATGGTATAGATAAAGAAATACATTTTTAAGACGTTATTTTTAAGACGTTATTTTACCACCATTACATATTAAGCTGGGACTAATGAAAAATTTGGTTAAAGCACTGAATAAGAAAGGTCAATCGATGAGTTACCTAAAAACGGTTTTTCCACGTCTGTCGCTGGCAAAAGTTAAGGAAGACGTATTTCGATGGCCCCCAAATTCGAAAACTGCTTAAAGATGAAATATTTTTAAATATTTTATCTAGGAATGAAAAAGCAGCCTGGAACCCATTCAGACTGGTTACAAAAAAATTTTTTGGTAACAGCAAGACCTAATTGAGAATTATGAAAAAATTGGAGCCAACATGGCACTAAAAATTCATTTCCTGCACTCCCACTTAGACTTTTTTCCGAAAAACCTAGAGGACGTTGGTGATGAACATGGATAGAGATTTCACCAACAATTAAAAGCTATGGAACGACAGTATTAAGGTGTTTGGAATGAGAATATGGTGGGCGACTATGTGTGGAATCCGAGGGAATCTGATTCGAATAACAAAGCAAGACAGCCAGAAAACTGATCACATACGTTTAAAAACTTGTAGCAACTTAACACCACTTAAAAATCGAAAAACAAAACGAAACGAGAAGGAACGTGTGAGTCGCTTCTGGGGACGCGACTCTACTTATACCCGTACTCAGTCAGTATATACATTTTTGAGCATGGTTTTTTAGAATTTTAGAATTAAAACATCTACATATACAATGTCTATTTTACATCTAACATATAGATTTAACATGTTCCATTCATATTCTACATCTCCTCCGCTAGGGGTTGCTCGCGCACTGAACGCGGCAGAGTGTGCGAGCGAGAAGGAAAATGAGTTGCGTTGTCGTTGGCGGGAGGGGGAGGGGAAGCAACTGAAAATTAATTTCTTCATTCTGGCTATAATTATGATCCGATCTGATTCAGATCCGGCAATCTGGTAGATATGGGCATTCTCTACGATACTGCGTATCTTTATCGTATCTTTAAAATTGTGCCTGCCACAGATTTTCGTTTTTTTGCGTAGGCGGAAGGGGGCGGGGCGAAATTTTGAAATACACTTGTAGCAGTGTGATATCACATGAGTCTGGAAACAAAATTTGGTTGCTCTATCTTTTATATTCTCTGAGATCCAGGCGCTCATCATGACGGACGGACGGACGGACAGACGGACATGGCTATATCGACGCGGCTATTGATGCTGATCAAGAATATATATACTTTATGGGGTCGGAAACGTTTCCTTCTCTCCGTTGCACACATCCACTTTTACCACAAATCTAATATACCCCTTAACTCTTTTTTGAGTACGGGTATAAAAAAGTAGCTGTCAACAACATTTAATGCCAAACACGTTCAGGTACCAACAATTCAACCCCTTTTCGTTTGCTTTGTTCCCAATCGGCAGTTGGGCCCAAAACCTTCCTACCCGTACTTAAAAAATAGTTAAGTGGTATATTAGATTTGTGGTAAAAGTGGATGTGTGCAACGCAGAGAAGGAAACGTTTCCGACCCCATAAAGTATATATATTCTTGATCAGCATCAATAGCAGAGTCCATATAGCCATGTCCGTCTGTCCGTCTTGATGAGCGCCTAGATCTAAGAGACTATAAAAGCTAAAGAAACAAAATTTGGTTTCCAGACTCATGTGATATCACACTGCTACAAGTGTTTTTAAAATTTCGCCCCCCCCTTCCGCCCTTACAAAGGACGAAAATCTGTGGCAGGCACATTTTTAAAGATACGATAAAACCAAAAACGCAGTATCGTAGATAATGACCATATCTACCAGATTTGCCGAATCTGAATCAGATCAGATCATAATTATAGCCAGAATGAAGAAATTGATTTTTAGTTGTTTCCCCCGCCCACACCTGACAGAGAGCCGCTACCTATCTCTTTCTCGCTCGCACACTCTGCCGCGTTCAGTGCGCGAGCAACCCCTAGCGGAGGAGATTCAGAATGTAAATGGAACATGTTATAATGTTAGAGATCCATTGTTATATTAGAAGTACACAGAGCAAGCACGACTGCTTCATTTGGTTGATTGATTGAGAATGTTTATTGAATATCTTTTGGTTCTTATCCTAGGGTACAATCGTTCTTATGTATAACGGAGAGCGAGAGTTCTCCCACGCATTATATGAAAAGAGTACCACCGCATAAGTATTAGTGCGCGTGGTCTCTGCCTGAGTCTAATGGAAATGCATGATCAGCGTGAAGGGGCTTTTGAGAGGGAGACCCATCGCCTCAGTGTTAGGGCATTTTTGTTCTGCCTGAGCTCGGGTAAATGCCTGTGTTCGGCTAAGCGCCGGCCCATGGCAGCGCAAAGAGAGCAGAGCTAAGCTCTTATGCACAACATTGCCTACCTGACTCTGCGCTCTTGAGTCATTTGCCCCTTCCCGAAAATCGTCAGCCGACGAAGGCTGTGAGGGAGGCTCGTCTGCGCAGCAGAGACACTTCGAAATCTAGCATAATCAAAAACACAACGTATCGTCGGTTGGCACAGTGACCTGCTATATCGTTACTACTTTTTATACAAAAACCCATTTTTTTTCTCGCTTCAACACGGTCCACCACGGGTCCGCCTGTTGCTAACTCTTGCCCATACTATTCCCAGTCGCCTTGCATGGCAAATAAAGAAAAATAACATAATCAAACAAACTGTGTTGTGAATTAATTAAAGTACGAATTGTCGATTTAACTCTACGCTATTGAAAAATCTCAATAGCTCAACATTTTGGTGACCCCGACGTGATCTAATCGATATATATTTATATATATATGCCTCGCAAATAACACTTGTCGGTCTTTTAATTCGTCGTTTGTGCACAAGCAACATAAACGGTTCTCGCGTCATCTGCTTTGCGGTTTGTCTTGCGGTTGTTTCGTTTCGGTTTTCGGTGCTCTAAGTGTACATGCCATTGTTGTTGTTAGCTGCACCTACTCAGTTCCTTTAAAACTGTGAACTTTCGCTGCTGGCCTGTAGAACTGTGAGCCCGTGTGTTTGAGCGCTGCGATCGAGTGTACAGTTCCTAAAAAACTGTTTGAGGTTATTCACCGGTTATTACCCTCTCCGTGCTTCAGAAACTTTAACCCAGTGCTTCGTAAACATACCCAATGGCTTCTAATAGCACCCCCTCACTCTTGCCCCCCTCACCATTGTTCGTCGATTCGGAAGCTGCATTCTACAAGCGCAAGGTGCAATCCATGGTAGGGGCAGCACGGAGAATCGAAACGGCCGTCGGCAAGGAGAGAATTGGCGAGCTCAGTGAGGAGGAGCTGAACGTGAGGCTGAAGTTGCTAGCGGAGCTTGTAGCTTCATTCAACGAGCACCATAATGCCCTGGAGAGGATTGATCTCGATGCGATCGGCAGTCCCTTGAGGGATGAGTTTGACGAGTGCGTGGTCATGCTGGAGATTCGCATGAAACGGGAGTTAAACAAGCGGCAGCCCACAATGCTACCATGCTCAACAATGCGGACGGACCATGCAGGAGAGGCCCCAACTACGGTCGCCCACGCCTGCCGGAGTTGAAGCTTCCTGAGTTCAGTGGGGGCTACGCTCAGTATTCCTCGTTTTGGAGCATGTTTTCCTCCATAATAGACAAGGATACCGATTTGTCAAATGTGGAGAAGCTGCAGCACCTGCGTTCCTGCCTGAAAGGACCAGCACTAGACACTATTTCGTCTCTAGAGTTCACGTACGCCAGCTATCCCATTGCGCTAGGCCTCCTTGATAAGCGTTTTAATAACAAACGTTTAATTTTTCAGGCGCATATCACGGACATTCTGGGTGTGCCGCGCATAGAGGCTTTGTCTGTGTCGCAACTTCGGTCCTTGTCGGACACTGTGAATGCTAATCTTCGGGCCTTGCAGAGTATGGGTACAACGGAGCAGATTGCAGGCTGTATTTTGATACACAGCCTGCTGCAGAAGGTGGACAGCGCTACGCAAGCGAAGTGGGAGGAAACGTCATCGCTGGACATGCTGTCCCACAAGCCACCGCATTTCTGGAGCAAAGATGTCAGAAGTTGGAGAATCGGGAGCACGCTATGGCAATGTATACGCCTGGCATTCCGGTGGGAAAGATTAAAAAAGTACAGAGCAACACTAGAAGTTCATTTGTAGCCACTGAGTCTGTTTCTCTTGAGTATCTATTTTGCAATACTGCTGGCCATAGTATATATACATGCGCGCTGTTTGGGAATCTTTCGCCGTCCCTTCGCCTAATTGAGGTGAAAAAGCTTGGTTTTGCCTGAATTGCCTGAAGGCTGGCCATCAATTGCGCACTTGCAGGTCATCAACTTGTCGTCACTGTGGTAGCAAACATCACACTTTATTGCATTTAAACGCCAGACCCTCGCCCACGGAACCCGTTGTCTCTTCATTCCCGCACCCTGAAGCGCAGCCACAGTCCTCAGCTGCCTCTCTGGTTGCACAGAACTCCTGCACGGATGTGGTGCTCTTAGCCACTGCAGTTGTTCTGCTGAGGGAGCGTGCTGGATCGCTCGTACCAT